AGCTCAAAATGAATATTCCAATCTTAATAAGAATGAGATGCTTTGCTGGCTATAAGTGATGCTTGTGTAACTAATTGAACAGATTCATTAAAATTACACTGAGATCAGTTTCCCTGCTTCCTCCCCTCAACCCCGTCTCCCCCAAATCCTTCCTTACCCTTGGGTTAAAACCTCAATCAATATTCAGTCTCAGATGTGGTGAAATTTCCTATCCTAATTAATATTAACATGGCCTGAAAATAATATCAGCTCAGGTCTGTCCCTGGACAGAGCAGAATGTGAAAATAAATCAGTCGTAAATAAGAGGTTGTAGGCACTGATCCAATTTTCACTCTATCCCCGAATGACCCATCCGTTGCAATGAAGTCCCAAATCACCCAGAGCAATAGCAACAAATGGTAATTTGATAAAAGAGGTTTGTTTTGGTTGATCTCCGCTGTTGCAGAATGGACCAGGCGAAGGTTGCTCAATTAAACTAGATAAGTGTATCTTAACAGAAATATTGCACACAAAGAGTGGAACTGTCTGCTCCCTTGAGTGCCATGAGCAGTGACAAGTGTGGGAAAATACAACAAAAGTTAATGTAAGGCAGAATCTCAACAACACGAGAAAGATTTCCGATTTTCCTCTTTAGGTTTATACATGAGTTTTTAATTGCATTAATGCTTGGTGACAGCCTTATTTCTGTACACTTACATGTCAGTAATAGACAACCCATCTAATTTCTGTGCAGCTTCCATATTGCCTCTCCTTCTCGGTGCCAATCCCTGACATAAAAATCCGAGCAGTAACCTGGCAGCGGCAGCTGGTTCCTTTCTTCTCTGAGCCTTCATCTAACTCTTCATCCCTCACTGCAGACTCCATGGTCACCATCCTCCTCCATCTTTCAACCAGGCAAGTCAACAGCAGCAAGCCACCAGCCTTAGCACATCATCACACCAGCTCTTGGACCAACTGATTGGACCACTTTATCCCTTCAGGATTTCAATTTGGAGCTGAGGGACATCTACAACATGAATTGTTTATCACTAATTGTTCAGTAATAGCTAAATAAAAACCAAAAGAACTGCAGATGCTGTAAATCAGGAACAAAAACAAAGTTACTGGAAAAGCTCAGCAGGTCTGGC